ATGAGCCCAGACAAGTGGTGGCACTGGGAAATGCAAAAATAGGTATCTTCAGCTGTTTTAAATTCATGGGTTATGTTTGCCTGTACCCAAAACACCTTTGCTGTCTGATTTTTGTCAGATTATTGTTATGAAATGTAGAGCATCACAGAAGACTGTTGAGCTGTCGCAGAGTAATTAGCTCTGGTGAATCAGACGATGACCAATTTCCTTCACAGCTAACAGAATCACCTCCTCAGCCAGCATTAAGGGACTCCACTGCATCTCACAAGAAACAAAGCCAACAACGCTGTGATTGTGAGGCTTTAACAAAGCTCCAAGGGAAAGCTTTCAGGAAACGAGGAATATTAACGCTGTCTTAAATGAATGTGCTGCATCTGAATGTTCACTTACCATAAATTCTCATGACTTAAAGTGGACTTAATGGTATTGCAGTGGTCCTGTCATGCAGTTTCTCACGTTTGTATCCTAAATTAGAGCTGAAACAAACCCATAAATGCTGTCAGTGCACACAGGTTCTGTGCTATTGTTCAAAAGCATGTTAAAAAAAAACAAGTAATGCAAATACAGGAGGGCTGCCGCACTGTGCAGAGGGTTGTCTCAGCCCTGGAAGACCTAAATAAGGACAAAAAATGTACAAGAGGAAGCAGAAGGCACTGAAACAGTGAAAGCAAAAACACCACCTCCTCTATTTGAGGGCACAAAACAACTGTGGGTCATGTGCAGCCAAATATTGCATTATTATTTCTGTCTCACCTTGTGCTCCTCTATTTCAGTGCGAATTCATTTTAGTGCTTTCCATTATTTTCTGTACATGCTTTCTTTGCTGCACGTTACAGCTTTGCAGTTGCAGAGCATTCCATCTCCAAAAAAAAACCTGCAGAGGGTAATTGCTGGGATTATGCACTTCAGAAGAAACTGAACGTTAACACATTGGCTTTTCACAGCCATTAATGCTGTGTTCTCAGTGAAACCCGTGTGCTTCTTAGCAAACACTTTTCTAGTAGGGCTCTCACCTGGCCGACTGCATTCTAAGCTCTACTCTGAGAAACTGAACATACAGACCTTCAAGGTATGCAAAGAAATTACCTGTCATGGATCAGCACTGAAGCTCAGACCTACTGCTGGGAACCTCATTCTGTGGAACACACATGTATTCACATACATACGCAATTATGAAACCGTACCCATCAGAAGCACACATCCATGGAAATGAAGGGGAAAAAAATGTGAAGTTCACAGTCTTCTGCTTATAACCAGGGGGCTGTAGAGGCAACTGACAAAGGCCTTCTTTTAAAGTCTCCAAAAATAATTCAAATTAAGATGCAAGCTGCCGTTTTCTCACGTTAATGAGAACTGACCTTCCTGGCATATATCCACAGCTCAGTTCTCAGTTACGTTTTCTCGACTCAGATGACTCCTTCATTAATGAAATGTAACTTGAAATCTGAGGAAAGCTGAAGGCTCACCTAAGCTGTCTTAAGTCCAGAGAAAGCCCACCCTTTTCCTGCTACCTTAGCTGTGTTTTATATTTGCAATTTCAAGATCAAACTAGGTCCTAGAAATACAACCAGCAAACAAGAGCATTTAGTATCTATCAGCCTTACATCAGCTGAAAGTGATTCGGACTGTTACTGTGCCTGACAGGCTGTGCATGTATTTAAAAAAATACTACTGTTCAGCATGACAGCTTACACTGGGGATCAGTTTTGCTCAGCTGCTTTGTTTGTACTACTTGATGCAGTTCTCCACTTTACTAAACAGGAAGACTGCATCTGTGTACGTCTGCCATCTTGTGTGAAGGACAGCTGCACCGAGCCACTCTGAATGTCAGTCAGCATCACTGCCACAGCAGCAGGCTAAGGCTGCTCCTCAGCACAGGAGTTTACAAGGGCTGATTTCAGAGTGAGGTTACAGAGGAACTTTCCATTTGCGCAGTACTTCTGCTGAAGCATTTCAGTGTCTCTCACTCCTTATCTGCATTAACTTGGTTCGAAGAACAGCACTCAGCTGGAAAGCTACACTGAATTTGTTCATTTAGCTGTGCACGGGCTTGCTGGGTGGGTAAGGCTGGGTCTGAGGCAGACAGAGACATAAACCTTAACAATACTGTTCCCAGAACTCTTTGCTTATACTAGATACCAGATGTGCTTGCTTTAGAATCATCTCATTTTCTGTCACCAGTAACTGGTCAGTGCTGGTGCACCCTTACACAATATTATTTCCAGCAACAATAAGAACTTCAGTCTCGCTGCAGTCACAGTACAAACAATGGCAATGCACGTTCACTTGGACAGACCTTTAATTAGGTGACAGGTGACCCTGTTTGCTTGCCATTTTCTCTTATTTATTTTTGCTGGACTTCAGACTGGGGATTATATTCTCATTCAGCTGCTGAGATAATAAAAATACAGCAGGGAAAACTTGTTTCTTTGTCTTTAAGATGGAGCAGCGATCCAAGAATTAATCAGCTTCTATCTAACTATATCTAATAGGGGCTTAATTAAATCAAAACATGTTGAGTGGATGGCTGAGCAGTCAAATTAATTTCTCCCTGATTTTTCAGCAGAACGAATGCCGCATGTTTCGAGTTCAGTTTGGGGGAGATTCAGAAGAGCAGATGCTGGAACACTGCTGCAGCTGCGTTCAGAAACTCGCAGAGTTTGTGCCGGTTCACGAAGCTGATGAACTAAGCCAGAACCTCTGTTACAGTCGCAGCCAAGTGGAGGATACTGAACAAAGTACATCAGTGCTACGTGCAGTAAGTAGAGCCGTTCTGGGAGGCAGCGACAGAAGCTGGCTATCATATTCCTGCTTTCTTAACCTGCCTGAAAAAGGCTAACAGAACAATGCTGAACAATTGCTTCTAGCTCCTCAAGTTGGGAACCACCTTGCAGCTTCTCAACTGAATTGTACTGCTTATGAGAACTTTAAGTAACCGTGACTTAAGTTCCCCTTTTTGTGTTTACCCACTCCTTCTCTGCAGTTTTATTAACTGTAAATATGGTCATCGTATCCATTTTAGCTACCCTGACACACTTAAAAGTGATTTCAGGGTAGGAAAAGAATGTTTGCCCTCCCCACGGCAAAGAATTAAGGTGACTGAAGGAGGCAGATAGTGCTGCTGAGGATGACTAATTCCTAAATATACACTCCTGGGTATTCAGAGGATCTCATTCACCAACTCTGAAAAGCATTGCTGTAGCTAACTTAGCCAGAAAGCCTCTCGGGTGTGTGATAATATATCAAGAACAGCAATGGGAACAACAAAGTTTTCAGCTACACCATTTTTGAGAAGCCCTATATTGCTGGACAGTGACAACAATATTTGATAGAGAAAATTAGAGGTGTTGAACATATTGCTGATTTGTCTGTGCTTTGGATTTTAACTCGTCAGGAAATGAGTGAAATAACAGAAGCTAAATGAAATATTTAATGGCAAAGAGTTGAACACCAGCAGTCATCTAAAAGCATCACTCAGAAGTGACTGAAAACCTCACTCCAAAACTGTACTGCCACCCTGAACCCTCTTTTCAGCAATGTAACCCATGGGAAGTTAAAGAGCATGCTCCTGGGGAGCGTTCATGCTATTTCTTTGAAGTTACTTCCAGCAAGTAGTTTAAGCTACTTGGTTTAGCTGTGACAGTTTAACTGCAGGCCCATTATTCCTTGTCTTTCATTTTTAAAGAATTTAACAGATGTGCTTTCAGGTTCCATAGAAGAGATGCCTTTTTACTGCTCAGCTGAGCCCACTCTTCCTTTTATATCTCCAAATGGAACCACTTCCCTTCCTGCACATGCTCACACTCTTCTTGGTAACAAGCAATTTTCTGCATTTGATGTTTTCTAGCCAGATGAGCCTCTGCCAGATTCCTGCACAAACTTTGGAGAAAGAAGATCTACAATGCAGCTGGCACAGGTAAAAAGGAAAAAATATATATAAGTTAGATCCTGTAAGTGAAACTCAGGTGCAGAGAAAGCTGTCTCATGCTGTAAACATCTGCTAAGAGTCTTCATTACACATCAGGATGCAATCAGGGCTACTGTCTATAGCAACAAAACTGAAAACTGCCATTCTTCAGTCCCTGTGTAAGGTGGGTGCATTATCCCTGCTTGAGCACAGCTTTCTGCTAGCGAGGCTTTCATTTGCCACATGCTGTAATCCTTCTCTCCCTTGAGTTACTGGCAAATTCCCTTCCACCAAGGCTCTGATACGGTTCTACACATCATCTACTACTTGCCCTCACACTCTTTTATTCAGCTTACTGCAGCTGTGCTGTGAGCTGGGATTTCCCACAAATTACAAAGCTTGTTCAGGGTTTCTTCCCCCAGTTCAGCTTTGGAGACATAACCCATCCTGCTGCTGCTCTGGAACACTCTGGAGCTGCATTTCTTCATTCCTACCACTCCCAGAAGGTAGCAGGGAGCTCTGGTCTCAGGTATTCTCTCCAGCATTGTTTTTTTAAAAACATTTTTAAAAACACCACCAGGACAACAGCAAGACTTCTGTGTGAACCACTGCCATTACTAAGAATAGGAGGGTCTTTTTCAGTGCACACAGATACAGCTGTACTCCACGTGTCAGCATGCACAGTCTGCCTGCCCTTGCACTGTTCCACGTTCAAGCAGTAGGAGCTGGAGGAGCTAACGGCACTCCTGAGCTGCCCGAAGGAGGTGGCATGCTTCAGCCCCACTGCTGGTCAGAGCTTCCAAAGAGGCCACGCTGGGCATCTGAAGCACGTCAACCCAAAGGCAGATCCCTCCATGACACGGTGACCACTCACCTTTGCCTCCAGCTGCCCCTCTGGGTGCCTCACAGCAGTGCACGCCCTTTGCACAGGATCCTTTTCTCTCGCACAGAATGCAGTCGCTGCACCACGTTATCCAGGAAACTGACATTTCTGAGGCAACTCCTGCACAGGCAGCTCTGTTGGAATTGAAGTTCGATAGGAGAGAGGCGTTCCATACACGAGCCATACAGGACTGAAAGCATTCAAACGGTGTAATAACAAGGCAGATGCATCTTTATTAAATGCCGAAGGAAAAACTTGACGTAGCTGCATCATTACAAAACCCACGTGGCGCTACCTTGTGTGTACGAGATCAGTGCAACAGCGCTGTCGTTCCTTTGCAGTCTGTGCTGAACCACAAGTCTGAGCTGCCCCTGCTGTACCGGCATTCAGCGTGGAGCGCGCAAGAGCTGGGACCCTTCATCCGCTTATGCCTGATGGACCAACACTTCCCAGCGTTCGTGGAGGACGTGGAGAAGGAGCTGAAAAGACTGACGGAAGGCTGAGCCACGTGTGACGCCCGCTCCGAGGTACACAGCTTCAATGCCATTAAATATTTGGAAGTCTCACACATTTTTGTCAGTGTTTTATTTTTAAAAACAGGTGAATCCACTTTTTTTTTTTTTTTATACATCATTGCACTTCAACAAATACACAGAACACAAGTTCATGCATCTACAGTTACGCACATCATGAGAACCCTGTTAGGTCTATTTCTACAATCTTTAAATCATGAGAAATTACAGTGTCAAACTAAAGATAACTAGTTGCATAGAATATCACCATGCTGTAACGTTTCATTTAAACAAAAAAAAATTATAAAAGTCTGCCTGAATTGAATGTACAAGAATATGTTGAACACATCAGTGCAAAAGGATTTGAGAATTTACATGAGTTAACAAAAAAAAAAAAAAAAAAAAATCACTTAAAAAGCAATCATATATATATATTTATAAACTGAAGTTCTGTTTTTGTTTCAACTGCATTTCACCACCACCTTGCTGAACTGCTCCGGCTTCTGACGTCTGACCGCAGGACACCCAAGTCTCTATAGGTTAAGCCCTTAAGATATATTTCAACTTAGAATTCCTTCCCTACGCACCAGAACAGCATCACCCTCTCATCTACCAGACATACAGTAAGGAATGAACATCAGCAGCTTCAAAATGAAACACGATTACTGGATTTTGGTTTTTCTCCTCCCCCCAAATATAAATATATACTGTATATATTTGTAAGTCTCGCCGTACTTTACAAAAAGTATCACTAGATGGCAGCAGTGCGTTTTTGAGCTTTGCCAATTTAACAGCTACGGTAAGTAAAAAATGGCGCATGCGTGATCCGACTTACTACTTCTAATGTTTAAATATAGTAAGGAGAAAAAAAAAAGCAACATTCACAGCACATCAAGCCCAAAATAGTTTACACCTTCTACACTGAAGCAGTATTAAAGTTTATCTGACTAGGTCATCCTTGCAGGAGAGGCTAAATAAGGCATGCTTTAGACAGTCATATTGTTGCTCACTTGAAAAGGAAGAAAAAAAAAAAAAGGGGAAAAAAATCAGACAGAACTGGAGTTCTAGAACCAAGAGTTCCAACCCTTAAATTTAGCAGGTCATATTGCCATCAGTCTCTCAGAAACTTAAAGCTCTAAAAAAGAAATGAGAAAAGGTGCTAGTCAATGCCTGACAGCATTTCCAACATCGCATGCCACAACAGTACGTCAACAAAGCGCTTAACATCCAACGCGGTCTTAATGGAGATAGAGGCTTTCCGACCAAGGTTAGCTTCCTTAGGGGAGTTCTTTTTATTAGTGATGGTAGCGATTACGTAGAGCTAGGGAGCTAGGAATCATTAAACTGCCTACGTGTCCCATGAGAAAAATCCTCGATACCCCCCCGTGCTCTGAAGCGTGCCAGGAAGGCACATGCCATCCTCTGAGCAGCCGTAACTTTAGCACATGGAATAAGTTTACACATCCAAACCAGGACAGAAAAAGGAGGACTTTTAGTCTGCGCGTTTCTGAGATGTGTGCAAGTCATACTTACATGATTAGCATTTTTAATTTGTGTTTCTCTGGCGTAAGTTTTTATCTTTATGATTGTTTGTAGAATTGGTTTTCCTGGGGAAAGAAAGCACAAAAGAATAAAGATTGACCAACACCAACCAAAATGTAGGAAAGTCTGTACGTATTCAGTTAAACAGCATTTCATCCTTCCTTCACCCCAACTCCTTCAATGATATTTGCTTTACTGAGTAAGGACCTGGCAGACTGCAGATCCCTTTACCGTGTGCTACCTGACAACAAACCCAGCAGCCACCATTCCCAAGCACCAGCGATCCAAGCCCAATTGAGCTGGCTTTTTTGTGCCTCTTTCCCTGGCAGCTTTTCATCCCTTGCACAAAACGCAGGCCAGAGATCAACACGGAGGCTTCAAAGAATGCTTTTCGTATTTTATCACGTTGCTTTTACTCAGCAATACCATACACTGAGCACACTGATCCATATTAGAGCTCCAGCATCGCACAGAACATCTCTTAAAACACTGCAAACTGCCACAACCTGCAGAATAACCCCAGTGACGCTTTTCCCCTTAAAGCACACTTACATTGGCCCAGCTGGTTCATCATCTGCAGCAAGAGTTCAGGTGCAATCCAGGGGAAGACAAAGGAGGGAAAGAAGAGAGAGTCAGTGTTTGTACGGCACGCCAGCTGAACTGCAAACAGCAAACCAATCTATCTACAGCATTAAAGGCCATTCCGCTCGGTAGTGCAAAGATTCATGGAGTTATTTTCAGGATTCGAGTTTTAATGGCTGGTATGTCGCTTCAATGGTTTTAGTTAACACTTTGAATGCTGGTCATGAAGAACTGCAACTGTAGCGGACAGATTGTTGCAACATGGTCAGACTCATCTTGTCCCCAAGTTCCAGTGGTTCAATCTTATAAAAATAGATGAGAAGACAAACCAACATTTCAGTTGTAAAATCCTGCTGTTTGTTTTCTGGGATTCATTTTTTAAGCCATCTTTCAACTGCAGGCGGCTCATTATCAGCATATACACAACAGGGTATATATGCCACATGCTCATCTTCCACCATGGATGACACAGCCTTTTCCCACTTTTCTCATCATCTAATTGGAGCAGACCAGGTTAGGAGGAGATTGAAGATTCGGAACTCGATTTAAGGATGCAAATGCAGCCCTCGGATAGCAGCCTGAGGAGCGCAGCTCTCACCACCAGGACAAACCCCGGTGCTGCGACACCTCCAGACACAGGCTTCAGCTAGAGGAAACGGACAGCCTTGTTCTGCCCGAGCCTCCTGGTCAGAGGCCAAAGGAAAACACTCTCTTTTAAGAACTGGACAAACAAACGTCTGCCAGTGTTAGGCATTAGCTCTTTCGTGGCCAATTAAATATTTTTCAGATTAAAAGAGACCTTATTTTTCCCCCAGTCTGCAGTACAGAAGACAGAAGTGCATTTAAACAGCAGTACAAAGTAAATCCAGAAAGTCAGGGTAACGCTCTGTAGAACTATGTTTTGGGGCACCAATTCACCACCTGCTGTTTTAGCATCCCACAGTCACCTCCTGCTGGGGGGATTTTTCACTGAAGCCTTTAGAAACTCTCAGCAGGATTCCACAAGGGGCTTGGTGCACATGAAGCAGTTATGGAAGTTACAGTCTGAACAGTGTGGGCATCCGCATGAGCACACGCCAGGAGTAATGTCTGTCGAGTGGGACATTACTCCACCTGTACCTTCAAGGCAACGGATAGGCAAAGCCACTGCTAGCACGGACAGTGACCAGAACGAAAAAATATTTCAACAAAAATAAGGAACTAACCACAAACCAAGAGCTTTACAGCCAAAAAGAACATACTAGCGACACACCAGTGTCCACAGAGGTCCATTACCAGCAACAGTACACTATCGGACAAGATACAGAGAGAACTAGGACCAGTAAGGACAACCAGACATCAATGTGCTGTTGTATATACAGTGGAGATATACAGAGACACATCAGGTACTGGGACACAAAGCACAGCAGAGTGAGTCTAGAGGCTCCTTCCACCAGCATCTTTTGGTTCACAAAAGATCTCAAGCCGGTGCGGGGAGCCTGGCACGGACAGCGAGCCCTTCGTCCCCAGCCCACGCTGGAGCGCCACCGCTGCCTGCCGGCCTTCACACCTCAGCTCAGCTTTCTACAAGCCTAAGCGACATCTTTGAGAGTTTGTCTCACTGAACTTCAGTGATAGCAAGCTGCAGTGTTAGGATACAAGTCTTCTCTCGCTATGAAATAACCGTTTGATCTTCTTGCTGAGGATATTTAGACATGCATTTCAGATGGCGTGTTAAAAAATAATAATTCACACCTATAAAGGCTGCCAGCAAAGCGTTTCCCTGACAAAGACCCAACAGAACGTCTATCAGGATACTTGTGGTTATGTATAAGGCCACCACGTGCCCCGTTCCCTTCTATCTCCTACACGTGACCGAGGAAAACTTATTTATGCATTAGTTACTACCCCGGTCATCCGTATCACTGCTGAGAAAGCAACCCTAGTACAGTACAGACAGAGATCGAAACCTGAGCGAAATCAGGGGGCAACAGAACGACAGGAAGAATAAGTACAAAATCAGGTTAAATAAAATAGATTAAGAACAGCAAACTGAAATCCAAATTAGTTGTGAATGTGAATGAAGTTGTAAGAAGGTGTTAACATTATGACTTGTGCACTGTATAGACTGAAGCGGAGATTAAACAAACTCCAAAGCATGCAGATCTCTCACTTACCACCATTTTTTAAGGGTATGATGCAATTGAAGGGGGGAAAAAAAAAAAAAAGAAGTCATAGTAACCGACAAATATCAATATAACTCAAAACCTTTATGCCAGAAGAGCTGCCCTAGAACCCGACGTCTCTAACCCAGTAGCATTTGAAACACTTGGCCATGGAAACACGCCTCCAGAGTGCTGCTTCATTCCATCCTGCAGCTGCAGGGCTCCTGAAATGCTGCCAGGTGATTTCACAGCTGACCAAATGAAGCCCCCTTCATTCATCAGGAAGTGGCTTTTTAGTTGGGGAGGGGATCTGCAGAGTCCGACAGATCACTGTTTACATAATAAAGCTTAAGGTAGGTATAGCGATTATCTGCTTAGCGCTGCCCTGAAAGAGCAGATTTCTGAACTGGAAGAATTGCTACTATCTTTAGTGCATCGTGTACAGAGCGTAACCAAGCCTTCCAGGCAAGATTTCTGGACGTTACAGCTCTACAATGATCTACAGACAGATCAGCTGTAGCCCCCTCTCGTACCAACTGCCTGCAACAGACCCCAGGCTGAGAATGGGCCATAGGTTGTGCAGGGCTGCCCTCTGCAAGACTTCTCACTCTGGCACAAGACCAGGACCCACCTTGCCAAACATGAGCTGCAGCATTACTGAAGCAAAGAGCCATGGTCAATTCCTGCTTGAGCACGGGTAAAGAGGGCCAGCATCAGTACGACATCTACAGCTTGCCAAGCAATTTGCCAGAGCTACTATAGAGGTTGCTAGGGAAGTTTCATATTTAAACCAGCTGAAGATTTTGTTTTCTGGGAAGAGGAAACTGGGCCGTAATTTGACAAGTTTTTAAGGAGGACATTTGTTAGAATTTAAATGGGCTTGTCCAAATTAAAAGAAAGCCCTGCACGTCAGGTTTGGAATAACAAGCTTCTCTTTCGCTTCATTAACTACAGGAGTGTTGGAGGGAGGGACGTGGCACACAGAGGCACCCATCTTGTTCCACAGAACAAGCCAATAAAGGTGCAGCAGTTACTGTGAGATGGAATGAAGCAGGAGGCAAAGACGACCCTCTGGCCAAGGTTACTTACATCAACCTGGAGGAATTCTGCTCCTAAGCGGCGCCTAACAAATCCGTACCGAGGCCTGTGGAAGCCATGGCCTCTGATTACTGCTACGATACAACAGTGCTTGCCTTTAGGTATGGTTTATAGCTACAGCCTCACTGTGTGCCTGATCATTTTCTCCCTTGGTGAACTTTACGTGTGGGAGAGAAAGGTGCAGATAACAGGCAAAAACAAAAATTAACTTGTTACAAGGTAAACTGTGTCAGTTAAAACATTTTGTTCTTTCAATTACTTACAGTAATAGCAGGAACAGGGAAAGTCAAGAAAAAAAAAAATGAGTATTAGAAAGAATGTGGGGATGTGAATGGAACTTCTGCACAGCCAGAGCAGAAACGTATTTATGGAAAATCTTTGCATCAAGCTGGCAAATGTAAAGGGAGGAATGGAAAAGCATGTATTGTAACCCAGGTGCCTTATGGCTTTGGACTAAGGAGTATGCAGAGTATGGATTTGCAAGTAAAAACTGTTTACATTCCTGCAGGGGAATGTAGCCAAGGAGTTTTTACTTTCTACTTACCCCAGAACACACGCTTTAAAACAGCGTCTTTGCTAATTATAGGCTAATTATAGGCTAATTTGTCCAACCACAACAAGAAAAAGCACTTTCTTTAGGCAAGTTTGATGCACTACAGGTCACACATCACTACGTCTATCAAAAATAAGCAGCTCTCGCTATACCACAGAGGAAGAAAAAGCTATTTACTCCCTTTGGTTGTCAAAGGAAGTCCAAGCAACTTGCAAGCTGAGCAAAATGCATCAGCAGTCCCCTGCTCGAACGGCCCCCACGTGCATGCAGTGAACGCCAGCACCTCTGGCCTCAGCATGCCACGGTCATGCAGCTCTCAGCACCAAAAGCCCCTGGAAGCTGCATGTCACCCACCCGCCCCAACGGTACCAAACCTAGCTGCTCTCCACAAACGGCACGTGGTCCGCAGGCCAAAACCCTCATTCTGAAGTGAGGCAGAAATTCAAGCGCAATCTCCCACCCGTTCCTCCTTGCAGCACATAATTTGAATGCCAGATGCTGACTGCAGCCACCCCTCCGCCCACGAAGACAGGAAAGCCCCCGGTCTGCAGGCACGTGAGCACAGAGCTGCGCTGGGCACCCGCTGCTGCCACCTCTGCACCGCACAGATGTCACGGTGCAGGACTTCTTTTCCTGCTATGCAGCAGCATCCGAAGAAACAGACATCTGAATTATGCGAAGGAGGAAATGTCAGCAAAGGAGCTATCGAGCAGCCCTGTGCTGTGGCATGAAAAGCAATTAAACCAAACACAAAAAGCAAGGTTCATGCAAAAACTGAAGTCAGGAAATGCCAAAGTTAAAGGACTGTCCTTGCCCCTGAGGCATGGCAGTGCTTATGATGGAGGCCACAGCTCCTGCCTGGCTCTGAAACCTGAGCGGCCTCACCCTGCAGCTGAGCTGTAAGCTGAGAAGTGCCCCAGGTGTCAGCAGGTGCCCAGCACCGTTACCCACCCGAGGGAGATGGTGATGGTGCGTGGCAACAGGTAACTTTCAAGTCTGCGGAACACAGTGATGAGGGAATTAATTCCACTGATTCTATTTGGGCTGGGCAGGTAGAGTTCCCAAGAGCTCTGGAAAGCACCCCAGGCACCTTCTGGGACAGAGAGAAGGTCGTTCTCCAAGCAGCCACAACCCCCAACCAAGAACTAGGCACTTCTGCTCAGCATCAGTTACCCCAAGTCTCTTGGGCACATCATCCAGATTTGCTCTTGTTTTCCCTTATTCAGAGCAATGTGCTGCTTGTCATCACTGCTTTTCTCCAAAACTGTAACTTCCTGAGACACTCTTAGAATGCCATTTATAAGTCACCACAACAGAAGGAAGAGAGGGGCCAAACCCAAGGATTCTCAGTGAAAAGCCCAGCTGGATACAGGAGACATTCCAATTCTAGGGAGAATTAACATTAGGAATCTGAGAGAAAGGAAAAGAGACCACAGCAGCTGCCAAATTATATTCATGGTACGTAATGTGACGTTCAGACGAGCATCTAATTCATACTCTGTCAGGCAGCCCATCAGCTGCTCCTTGGCAGTACTGCCACTGCTCACTGCAGCACGCACAGGCAGGCATATTGGTTTGGAAACACCGAGTCCCAATTCCAGACAGCACCACTGCATTCAAACATTAACTTTGGCATTTCATAACAATGTATTTAAAGTAAGTGACGTCAGTGTTTTACTTAGGTTATTCCTCAAGTGTGGAAATCAGCTGACTATCAATGATTTCTCACGCAGGCAGTCATAAAATGCCCTGGCTTCTAGGGTGTTTCCCACCACAGCATCACAGAATGCTTCAAACGCACTGAAGTGCAAGAGTGTCCAACCAAATACAGGACTTGATAGCTTTTTAGTTGAGATTTTATGCCCATTTTCTCTCTCCGTCCAAGCAAACCGAACACATAGACTGTGATATTCAGCACTGAATTTTGTCCTCCAAGAAAGTGGGCAGAGAAAACAGATGGGCACCCCAGAGCATCACTGCTCTCCAGGACTCCAGCTGAGCTGCCTTTCAAATAACAGCCAACTGAGCAAGCAAAGTCAGTGACCTCAGTTACCTGGCCCATCATCTGGGACACCTCCATCAGAGATGATGAGCCTGGAATTCTTCAGGTGTCCGGAGAGCAGCCAGACCAGCCAGGAAAACTTCAGCCACAGAACTGAGCCCGTAACGAACCCCAGTGCATGCTTCACCTCTTCGTGAGGCTTAATTGCCCTAACACCTCATTGCGTTGCAATCTGGTCCAGTCAAAGCCAATTTCTACTGGATTAAGGCCAATTCATGTTGCTTACAGTAAGGATTTCCATATTAATTTACAATCACTGATGCTTTGTTTCAGCCCTAGTGAAACCAAAACCATGACATTCTCCAAGTGTCAGTTTGAGAAACACAGCCACCAAAAAATGAGGCGGGATTCTCCCCGGCCATCCTGTCAGGCCAAAATGGCAGAGCAAGAGAAGCACAAGAGGACATTTAAGTGCTTCTCTGAAATACACGTCAAGTTTTCTGGGCTGGTTGAGAGCCGCTTTGAGGACAGACTGCTGGCCATAGAAACCCCCTCAGCAACCACAAAGCTGTTAGAAGCAGAGGTACATGCACTACACGCTTTAAATGCTGCTGGCTACACACCTGGGAACAGTCTCAATGCATGCTCTGTAAGAAGTCAGTAGATGCCACCAAGGTCGTTAAGATAAAAGCTACTTTCCTCTAGGTATGCACTATTTAAGAACATTTTTTTTTTTTTTTATCAGCTATGGAAGTGATCCAAGCCTCAGCCGAAGCACAACCATTTATTACTTGTAAGATTTCTTCCTCCGCTCGCTAAAACACAACTTGGGAACAGCGACGTCGTTCTTCCCAAGCTCGACAAGCAGATCCATGTTTCAGCAGCTATGTTTCCATCCCAAAAGGCAACCGTCTTGCTGTGCTGCTCCTGAGCCCTTGTGCAACCCAACAGCGAGTCACTGCTGCACAAGCGACAGCACAGCTGCCTTTGGAAGCTATGTGTGGTGCTGCAGGGCTTGTCCAACCCAGGAAAAGCCCAGTGACTCAGTGCTTCCCCGCACTGACTCAGCGTGTTCCCCACTGCAGCACCTGCTCCTTCATTTGGACACGTCATGCTCCTACAGCAAGCAAGATGGCATTACCAGCTGTTTCTCGCAAAGGATTCCTCGGTAAGTTTTCTTGATAAACACTGTAGTAAGCAACTAGGTGTCACTTGAAAGCATTTTTGTCAAAGAGGTTCTTTCAAATACTCATTTTAGCTTCAAACCGCCCCTTTTTCCCCAAGGAAGATATGCAGAAGAAGCTCAAAAGATAAAACAGGCTGTTTGGTACACAAAGAAGTTGCAGCTAATCACTGTTACCGAACCTAAGAAGCTAATCTTAAGAAAATACAACTCAGTGGATATTAGTTAGTTTCCAGAGCATTCCTTAAATACATTACTAATTCAGTTACACACTAAAATAAGAGCCCTACCTCCCACCTCCCCACCCACCCCCTTGCAAATATGACTCTTTTTTTTTAAACATCTGTGGTCCCAATCCCTTGCAGCGTCACGTTTCCTCCCGAAAGCTGCCCAGTGTCTGACCCAGGCATCACCAGGGATCAGAGCATTTCCACGTTTCCCCACGCTCTGTGGGACTGACATGAAGGATTTCATGGCCACTACGGCGAGAAAGAGACAGGGGCACCACAGCCACCTGGTGCAACAAAACACTTCACAAATACTGTTGTAATTCCCCTCCCATCCCACAGTCCAAGGTCTGGGGGACCCTCTCCACTTACTGGCTTTAATATTTGGAGAGTGAACAGATGAAGGCAAAGAGCTCAGAGCTGAAAGAACTGTGCTGATGATCCTTCCTGCCACAAAGACCCACTCTGTTCTGCTTCTGCTTCCGTAAGTTTGCTTTGCTTTTTTCCTCCTCTTACAAGCGGCTTTGAGCACACTTACCGTCTGGGACTTCGTCTGGCCGCTTCCTTTTCTCATAAATAACTATGATGAAAACGAGGATAAAAATTTCTGCCAGGATCCCCAGGAAGGGCCAGAGAGGAGCCAAGTGGCTGCGGACACGCAGGATGGTTGTGACGGACGCGGAGCCGATCTGGTTGGTCGCGTTGCACTGGTACTCGCCGGGATCCTCGTTGATCTGTAGGTTCGTGATGCTGAGCTCAGTGTAGTTGTCTTTATTTGAGATAAAGAATCTTCCAGAAGAGTTGTTGATGTCCTGATAAAAGAAGAGAGGTGGGAAGAGGAGAGAGAGAGCGCTTTAGTGAGTTCTGATGCCACGGCTTTGCATTTCTGCATCATGGAAACCAGAAGAAACGTGATGGATGCTGGCAAAGAAGCTGATATTTCAGCAGAACCTGCTACCAGTGTCCATTCTGTATCTCTCCCTAAAATGAATTATGCTTCAAACACACACAAAACCACATCAGCTTGACCGACATGCTGTATTTTATCCTGCTTCAACAACAGCAGCCAGGGAACGCCAGCGGTGGTGATCACAAATGCAGCACAGGTTAAGATTATTCTACATTGCATAAGATTTTCTCATTACTTAAGATATGGTGGACTTAAAGTCTTGCATTTGTGTTGTTTTCACACGTAGTTCTCACAGATTTGGGGACAGGGCAGTTAAAAACACCAAACTTCAGGAACATTCAGAGAACAGGAAATTCAAGGCCTCACATTGTTTCTACATTTGAACAAAAGGCTTCCAGACTTGATAGGCTTAAAGACAAAGCACAGATGTGTGACCTTCCTGTTCCTGAAAGTTAACTGTGAATGAGCTTGTCAGATAACTTCATCAGAAAGAAAGCCTGTGAAGAAGCCTTCTGAGCACCCAGGTCTCTGGTGACTCACAGCAGAGGTCACCCGTACTGCACTGCCCCATGAAAAATTAAGCTCCCAATTAACACTGAACAATTAATTCACGTTACTACCTGCTTAGTATTTTTTTTTCCAATCTACTGAGCAATCGACTAGCTCTCCAGCAGCGCCCACTGCACTAACAAACTGACAAAAACAGGCAGGCTGAAGGACTCCAGCTTCTCTTATTCCAATTGCTGGTCAGAATTCTAGCTCACCATCCACCCGCCACACTGGAGGAACACGACCACTGAACAGGGCTAACTGCCAAAACCTTGTATGAAGTCTTGCTAGCCCAACAGTAAGACTGAAAAAGAACGTAGCGAATGCAAGGTGGTTGCTTCATTCCTTATCAGGGGGCCTCGGAAGGACAGCACACGCTGCCTAGGCATGCCGAGACCCCCAGCCTCTTACCTCAAACACTCCGTTGACCTTCTTGCGCCATACCCACTCGGGATGCGGGAAGCCCACGGACTTGCAGTACATGAGTGCCTCCTGCCCCTCGTTTTTGTTCTCGCTCCGCTTGTGGCCGGTGATGTCAGGGATGGCTACAGAAGAAAACAAAGCCTCTGTGTTCACAGGGTGTTTCCTGAGAAGGTAATTACTTGAAGCTGCTCTGAACAGAGAGCAAGAGCTCCCTGGGAGCTGCTGCCTTTCCCGCACCAAGCCCACCTTAAAGAAGGAAAGCTGATTCCCACATCTACCCAACCAGCACCACAATGAACACCTGCAGGAACATCCTTCAGGCAGAAGTCTCAATGCCAAAACTCAGCCGTGTGCCAAACCCCCACAAAACTGGGATGGCTGCACCACTTGCCAGTGCAGGAACAGGAGGAGCACCCTCATCTTCCCTGGGCTCTATGGGGATCTTCAGCTTTGAAACAGAGCCGTAGGGGATTCTGGTTACAACCTGCCCGTTGTGTCAGACCTCTGCACCGATTCCTTCTTAACGCAAAGCTCTGAGAGCTGAGTCAGGCCACTATTCCTCGCAGCTGGAGACGTGGGCCACAAACATGCCATGACGTGTAACGTGCTTGTTGTGCCTCACAGTGATGCTGCAGCTGGGTATGCGTCATGCAGCGAGTCAAAATCTCCCCAAGAGAACACTTTGATCCAGCACACGTGCAAATCTCTATTGTACATACGCTGTGTGTGTAGACAGGGGGCTACAGTGTTATAATCAGCAAGCCACAGCCCTAACATCAGCAGAGGGAACTCTGAACAGACTGGCCTATAAATAACAGCCCTCTGCTCCCTGCAGCAGGTCCCATGCAGCCCACTGCAGCCTAATGCCTCACGAGGGATTACGCTGGATCAATCGAGTGCCCGACCTGAACCTCTGCTTAAGCAGATGGCTTTGGTGCCGCTGTGACCACCTTTAAAGCCCATTCGCTTTCTAGCTTGCTAATTATGCCACACGTGGCCTGCTGTGTGATCTGTTAATCTAGTCAAAGTCCAAGCTCAGAGCCCCAGGAAAAGGCCCCGGGCACCAGAGTTTATCCCAAGGGGCTCTCAGGCAAAGTTGCCTTTACCACTGGCAAACCCTGCAGGTAGGGCTAGGGAGGGATCACAGCTTCTTGACAGCCCAGCTGCAACCGCAAGTCAGAAGAGTGAAACGTCTCAGTTCTGATCTGCCGCAAAGCAAAAACGAGCAACATCTCTTGTGATCCGGGCAGCAGCAGCCAGACGTGCCCTTCCCCAAAGAACACCACAGCTCTCTGGGAGAACGTCTGACAAGTCACACTCAGTACTTAAAAGTAGTGCCATCTTCCTGCAAACCACGCATTGTTTCTACATTTGAACAAAAGGCTTCCACACTTGACACACTTAAAGACAAAGTACAGAAGTTTGACCCTCCTGAAAGTTAACTGAGAATGAATTTATCAGATAACTTCATCAGAAAGTTGTTCTGATGAACAGGATCATCCTGCAGGATGATACAACAGCAAAAGAAGTACGTCATCAAGGCCTGCAAGGATCCACATGGCCTTTGCTAACAATTTCCAATATATGTGACAGACAGATGTCTGGTTACAAGGGGATGCTAACCAGTTTTCACGTCAAATATCTCAAAGCAAAAAATCAATCAGCTTTAGGATTAAGTGCGCTGCATTACATCTTCAGTACATCCAGCATCAGTAAGCAGTTGCACTGCCCTTCCAACACACTGCTTAGGTAAGCTCAGTGGCTTCCCTATGGCTTTGGCTCGGCTGAGGGTGATGGAGAAAACGGAAGGCTGGCAGAAGTGGAGCATAAGAGACAAAGCAACAGCCCTGACTTAGCACTGAAGGGTTGCCAAATTCCTTGCACGAGGAAAAGAAAGAGGGGTCACCAGCTGAAAGCCCCACGCAGCCTCCACTTGACAGCACTCTGGTTTTTGCTGCTGCCTCCCAGCTGAAGAGGCCGTTAGCAGAGCTGTGCAGAGGACAAGGTGCAGCTGGCCCACTTTTTCTATGAGAGGAAGAGAGACCTTTCTAGGACACGGTAACTCTTGCTGCAGGGTGACCCAGCGTCCTCCTGTAGCCAGGAGAGAATTCATTGAAGAGGAGGACATCTTTGCCAGGTCACCCCAACGACAGCATCGGTGACAAGAGCACACTGTGCCTTTTCCATGCTGGGCACAGTTATACCGCAGCCATTTCCAGCTCTGCTCCAGCAGGGACTATTTTTGTGCAGTCTGAAGGGAGCATTACACGGAATATTAATATTTCAGGGATCTGATGCTAGTCGGTTTCAAGCTATGGCTGAGACATTTCCAGTACTTACTCTATCAAAATGTTTGGCTAATTGCCTTCTGCTGTACAAACTGCATTTAAGATATTGCTGCAGCTGACCTCAATCACAGATTTAGCAGCAGGGCAACCTTTTCTTACGAAGCTTTTCTAGTCGAGGTTTTTACCATCCTGCTCCAATGCCAGCAACACAAAGTGCAGAACGAAGCGGATTTCCTTTGCACAAGATTTAGATGTCACTTTAGCTTTTATGCAACAGCATTCAGCAAAAGGCACAGGTGGGCACAGCGTGCTGTGTCAGGTCCCACGTCACTGCAACCAAGCCAATGTCCTACGAAAGGAAAACCAGGATTTGAATTCTTTCATTGTAAGACTGGGGAAAAAAAACAGTACTGGAAATCTAAGGAGCTGTTGAAACAGCATATGAGAGCACAGAAACAGGGAGGGCTAGGTTAAGCTAAATGAAGTCTGAAAGGTGTTTAAAATGGCTAACCCTACATTTATTTGCAGACTCAGTCATTTTTAACACAGGTAATCTCCTTATAAGCACTTTTTGACAGTTTTAGTATCAACACAAAGAACTTCTCATGCCTGCAAACTTCAGCTACACAACAGGCACCAAGTGCACTCACCAGCACTTTCAGAAGGGGTTACTTTAGTACAGACCTGAAAGTATTGCTTGTTTTTTGTTGGGTTTTTTTTTTCCCCTTCGAGACATGCAATGCAAACCTCTTCATATATACAAGGATTTCAGTCCTTGATTTCCAAATATTAACGGCTAGCATTACTAAAACAGAAGGGAGGAGTAACATGCCTAACAGCTGCAAAACCACGTCCCAGATAACAGAGCCCTTTCAAAGTCTTCCACTAAAAGCCAAAACCAAAGCAAGGACAAAAGCACCTAGACGTATTCTTGCACATAAAAACTATTACATCTTATGGGTGACCCAGTAAAAAGTGTCTGGAAGTTTTCTTGTTCTGCATTACAATTCAAACCTACATCTACTGTCATAATGTGGGCTGAGAGCAAGGACACCAGAAGTACTGCAGTACAGGAGAACGTGACACACGCTTTCCTTTTCCTGTTAAGGACTGTTTTAAGATGCAGCCGTGCTGACAGAACGCCCCATTTCTTCATTCCCTTCTAGCAGTGTTGTGAAACTGCTGCAGAGATTTCCTAAGACAGTCAGGTGTCAGGAAACCAAGAGCTTCCAAGGCTGCTGAAACATCCAGCGGTTTTCCAATGCGCAGCCTGGGCTGGAGCCACAGCACAAGCAGGCAGCTCACACTCTGGATGCGGGCGCCGGTGCGAAGCCTGAGCCTCAGCTGAGCTGCAGTTAGGGGTACAGTAAGCACTGGGACAAACTGCTACGTTTCATGTTCTCACACTGCTCTGAGCTCCTGCTATTGAGAATCAGCAACTAACTGGGGACAAGGGAAGATGAGGGTGCAGAAGAGAGAAGGGATGAAGGAAGGAGGCCAGAAGAATGACATCACGATGGTAGAAAGGCCTACAAAGAAAAAAAAAGCAACGGAGCTCTGTCTCTCCAGGTGCACAAAAAGAAAGGATGGGAAGGCAGATGCCATCCACCAGTCAGAATGCATCAACATCTTTTCTGGTGATTGCACAGCTTCTGGGCAGCCAGAGGGGACTGGAAGCAAGCTCTTCACCATCTGGTTCTCACTGCTACTTTGCTGTACTGGACATGGCAGCTTGCAGAGCATCAGAAGACAAGACAAACTTGTTTCCACCTCCTTCTCCAAGGTTCTTGATAACACAGCGAGATTGCAGAGAATTCACCTAAGAGTTGCATTGCTTGCTTTCAATCTTGCAGCGTGCAGAGCTCCTGTATTACAACACCATGTGAGAATCCTTGTTTTTTTTGGCTCAAAGCTTGCTTCTTCCTGAGGTTCTTGTGATAAGACTCTGAGTGACTTGTCAAGTAGGCAAGTGATGGGTGCTAACCATGTGACAATCGATTTCACTTTGGGAACATTTGAAAGCCCCTTCCCCCAGAGCTGCTTGCTCTGTAGAGAGCGGAAGAGAGCGCTCAGCAGTGTTCACTGGTGGAAGATCTGGCCTGTGACAAAACCACTCCAGCTTGGTATGGGAGGCTGGGGGATGATACCATCGTATCCTGCGAAGGCAAGATGCAAGTTGGTGCCTCCCTGCTTCCTCTTATCTGCTGGCAAGGCCAGAAAGATAAGAACAAAGGAATTTCCTGCTGGGGTCCCAGGGCGAGAAGCTGCCACGCAAGGAGGGCTGACTCAACCACTTTGAACCACTGAAAAGGGGCCATCATCACCCTGGTTGTCGTTGTCAACAGAACGACTCTGCCTGACGACCAACCGCTACTGAAGATCAAAGACTGAACTGTGAACCTCGCTGGATCCATGGTGGTGACTGCGTCCCTCTTGCTTCCTCTGAAGACTCCTTGCTTCTTCTTTTCTATCGCCCTCCTTCCCTTCCCCACTACCCTAATTCATAATAGTGTCCGTCCTCCCCTCCCCACTTCCCTGATTAAGATTTGTCATAAACTGGTTGGACCAACGTTTGAACCGTTGCTTCTTAATCTCACGCCAGGTATAGAGATAATAAAAGAACCTCCTCTCCCTCCTATAAACTGGAGCGAGACGCACCACTACATGAGCACTGCAGGCACTTCTGCTGCGTAGAAAGGGAGCAACTAAAAAGCCTACATCCAGACAGCAGTGCTCGTGTTCCTGTGCTCTCCTCTTCCTACACAGCACTTGTAAAGATGGAGGAAGAAAGCAGGCAACATTACATAAAAGGCAAATGGCACTGGCGCACCCTGGGCTACATCTGCTGCGAGGCATTTGCTAGAGTTGTTCTCAAGTTGTCAGAAAGTCACTATTCTGGTCCACAGGCACTCTTGTATTCAGGGCCATCTTTTCTATGTGCATCAGCACATCAGAACTTCAATACAATTACGAGCAGCAATTAAGTGAACAAATCTGTCTATAACTGCTTGTCCACAAACGCTTCCAAGGGCCACACGCAGATGAGCATTAAGTTACAGCAACTGCACAGCCCAACCAGATTTGTGCATCACTGACACATCACACGTGCCTCAGTGAACAACCAGTTCCATGCATCAAGTAGAACGAACATCAGTTTGATTTGATAATTAGAGCTGCTTGAGCAGAACGCACAAAATATTTACACCCACCTGCAAGAATAAGGAACACCTCTGCAGAATGGGAGAAAAGCCTTTGCAACTGTGATGGCTATTATTCAGACTTCTGTAACCAAGAGAATATTTCTGATCCCAGGTAAGTTTAGCTGTATGGCTCTTCAGGTGCAGTAACTTAGAAGCACACTCTCTAAGCATAATAAATTTACCTGCACTGCTAGGACTGCAGGAAGATTACAAAGCTCACTTTAACTTGTGCTTTAAAGGCAATCCCAGCGTACAGCTACACCAAGCCTCCACGTAACACAAGTTAGACAACAAAGACACTTCCAGTTTACCAATATGTACTCGTTCCAGTTTCCAATTTGCTTAGAAACCTTGGGAAGGCATTGCCCACTCAGCCTCCACACTTCTGCCAGGGAGGAACGCTCCAGGCGCTGCAAGGAGGAGCTGCAGAACAGCACTGCCAAGGCCCTGAGGTTCACTGCTGAACAAGCTGCAGGTGAGGTGCCTCCAGGGTGGTGCTCATTAAATGATGATTACTCAGTTGTATTTAAACATAAATTACCTGTGAAAAGTGGTTAGGAGGATTAATTATCATTCTCCTCCTGCCCTTACTGCCAGTAGTTCAATCAGATATATTGGCTTTTCTTTCTAGAATCTTCAATCCCCTGTCCCTGCATAAACCTCTCTGCCACCGGACAGCAGAGAAGCCTTAAGCCAAAGGTTTCCAAAAGGTCTTTTGACAGATTATACAAAGCTGGAACGGGTCTTATTCAATCCATCACCAAAGCTGTGCTTCCTGACTCTGGAAGCAGTTTGTCACTCTTGAAAGCAGCCTAAGGAAGGCAGAAAGAACCAAGATCTTAATTAAGATATTGAAAGATTCAGCAGTGACAGTGCAAGAGCAGAATGCAAAAAACAACTGTCACGTGCCCAGCCCTTCTTAGGCCAACAGAAACTTGCAGCACTTTCACAAGAACGTGTATTCTAGATTTGCTTCTTCTTGGCAGAGCTATTGCATCATGCTGGCTACAGCTTGAAAGATTATTATATGCGAGATCATTAAAAAGCATTTTAAAATCAAGGTAGGAAGTCAGCAAGCTTTTCTTGGTGCAACATCAGTTGGATTGCTTATTTACCCAGCAATATTTATCTCCCCAGGAAACGGTGTGTGCAGTTCAGGGGGCTCCATTTCCCAAGGATTCATAACATTACTGTGCACGGTCATTGTGCACAGACTGCTGAATTCGCCCCACTTCCTTACACTGCACTGGGGAACCTGCCCATGCACTGCTCAGCGAGGCACCAGAATCTCCCAGGGAAAAGGTTTCCCACCACAGCTGTTCCAACAGCACAGAGGAAGCTGTGTGTCTGAGCTGGGGATGGAAGGAAGACGGTAAGTAACGCTCATTTAAACTCCAAACAAATTTACAGTCGTGGTGAAACAAGCATTAGTGTAACCACAGGCACACACAGCCGGGGTGCAAGAACTTTCAATCGAGTTTTTGATTGATCCCATCTCTTTGGCTAACAGTGCTGCCATCAATTCCATCTCACCAGAGGACATAAGAGGATCACAGCCACTGCACTGCAGTGACCACAGCCACAGTGCTGCCCAGCAATTCCCACAGTTATTCAATGAACAACTTGAACAGCAATTTAATGCTGTACAGAACATCATCATCTTCACTGTCCCCTTTCTTGTTGTTTAACATCTCAGACATTGTTCTTTTGTTGGTGCAAAGACCACATCTGATTCTTTTACTCTACCTTCTAGCCACAATTTTAGGGCCCTGAAGATTTCAGAAAGGTACCAGCATATAGAAGACAAAAAAAACAACCATGAAAACCCCAATCTGGCACAGGGCACCTGTTCCAAACTGGCACCCAGGCTTCCCCAGCAGTTGAAACAGTCTCCAGACAAAAACCTGCAATACACCAGATCCAAGCTGCCACCTGTGAGATGCTGGTTCTCACTTTTTCTCCATTCTGGAAGAGATAAATTCAAAGCACACTGGATTCACACAGGAGGCCTCATTCACCGTTAGGAACAGGAAGGAAGTCACAGCTAGCTGTCTGTGCTCGGGGAAAGGCATCTCCTCGTGCTGCTGGGCGGGCACGCTCCTTCCTAATAGCCAGAACTGCCAAAGGAGCACAGAAGCAAGAACTGGAAGGTATCTCAGTGCCCTCCACCAGAGCAACGTTCATATTCCTGTATTGCTGAGATCTTACCTCTGGATTTTCTGCAAGACTTCCTCTGAAATTATAACCAAAGATTGCATACAGGCTTGTTTTTGCAAGGAAGGATGAAGTTAAGTCCTCTTGTACAGACACGGAGCGCCAGGGGCGGTGAAAGCATTTCTCTTTTAAGGAGAGGAGACAAAAGAAAACAACAACAAAAAAAAGTACCTCTCACTTCTATAGTGGCGTTGGCTACAGGAGAGTTTGCAAACACAAACACGCACAAGTATTCCCCTGACTCTTCTGCTCTGGGCTTCAAAATCCTGCAGACAGGGAGAGAACACATGAGCTGTGTTAGGTACCATGTCAGCAACCAAACACCAACAGGACAGGAATGCTCCCCCCCACACACACAGTTTAACCTTTTAACAAATTACAGCTGTTACATTCAACTTATTTTGAGTGTTGTAGAGATGTGTCTGCTCAAAATAACTGTCTTCTGCCCTGAAAAAGGGTGAGCTGTAGCCTGGAAAGGCAGCACCAACTGAGCTGGAGAAACTGCATTCAGTTTGAAAGCAAAGGATTCCGATCATTACTCACTACAGCCTGCATGGAAAATAAGTCACATTTCTCTACCTGCACTGAAAAGAACTGTTGCACATCCAACTGGAAATTGATAAACTAGAAAACAATCCAAGCACGTGCTGTCATCTCACGTCATGTCATTCTTTTTTAATAGCAGATATGGCACTGCTCCATTAACAGCTTTCCCTGAGCCAAAGTAGGTATGGAAAGATCTGCAAAAGCTGGTCAGCTCATGAAGCAAGGTGCTAACGAACAATCCAGTGCCATTTAGAAAATCAGGAAAGGTCTGAGCAGTAACAGCAAGCAGAGGTGAAAACTGATGTAGGCCAACCATAAGAAAACTGTATCTGCAACAAATGAGAAAGTAAAATTTACTCCTGAAATGATGCTAACTTCCAGTTCACCACCTTTTGCTGGCCTTTGAAAAGCTTGTGGAAATGAATTACTGCTAAGCTCTACGTGTATGTTCAAGTATTTATTGACAGTAGACATCCTGGAGCATGGAAGCACACTGTGAAGTGACACAGCCTACATCTCCATAATGAATAAACAAAATATTGCTGGGGTTCTCCCAAGTGATCCAAAAGGCTTAAAAAAAAACCCAAAACACTGAGTGAATAGGACACAGATGAACAGAAATCCTGGAGAAGAACACTGCAGCAAAAGAGTTTAATTACACATGGAAACTGCTTAGTCACATGGAAAAAGCTGCCCAGGCTGACACTGTGCTTTCCCTCAATCTCCACTGCTTTTACAGCACTCAGAGTCATCAGTGGAAATGTAAAGTTAGTTATAAACTTTATGCCTTTCAGATAAAGGTAACACCCACTTTCCAGAGTTAAGAAAGATTACCTCGATGATAAGGAACGATCCAACATCAAAGCCATCACTGCAATTTAGCTGGCAGCTGGGCTGGAAAAGCACTGCTCTGAACAGCAGCACAGGCTGACACCGCTGGCTAAGGGTGGCCAAGTCCTCAGCCAGCTGCCATGGGACAAACCTGCCTGCAGACTTACGGAATGAAGCTGTCCTGAAGCTCAAGGCCTCAGTTCTGTGAGGCTCTAACGTTTAAGGAAGTGCACTCTGGTCACCAATTAGTTAATTTTTAAGAAGTGATGAGAAACGTTTGTTGTTGTTCTACGTAGACTCCACCAAAAGAGTGGAACTTCAGCCTCCAGAACAGCTTTATTGCTTTATGGCATTGCTACAAGTGCAAACTGATACAGCTGCAAACTGTTGAAGGCAGACCAGAGCCTGAAAGCAGTGTGTTTAGCCAACAGCTTCCGCTGCCCTGCAGCTCCAGGAGGAGCCCAGCTTCTCACAGCCATGAACGTTTCAGCAGACAGCAAGCAGGCATTTATTCAGCTTAACCCTGCAATCTGTAACCCAACCCTGAATTAACCGATGAGGAAAGAAGTCACCACTTCACTGCTCCTAACTACAAACACAGATGAAGGGCATTTCCTAGAATTAAAGCACAGGATGACCAGAACCACGTCCAGATGCTTCCCACTGCTTAAAAGGATGCTCTACAATTGATTCTTACTCATTTTTTTCATCAAAATTGTTTATTAAAAGCTACGCTTAAACCTGGGCTTTCCTGCTACAGCTGCCAGCCAACAAGGGCAGCTTTATCAATTCTGAATGAAGAATCAGGGAAGATGTGCTTTCTGCAGCTCTGTGCAGCAGGAGTTTTGAGGTGGGTAGTTTAACCCACAGATTATGAGACTTTCTGCTTCACAAACAGCACTGAACTTCAAGTATTAACTATAAATATATATATGTATAAAACTATACAGCAAACCAACCATCAGTGACTGAAACACCAAGAACCAAAACCTGTTTTGAAAAGGAAATGAAATCCGACGTGAGCAATTAATTATGGAGTAAATGCTCAAGTCAAATAATCTCTGAACTGTTACTATTTGGACATTGTTTCCATTAATCCACTTACATAATTTGGTATTTCTGGATCTGGAAAACAAAGCAAACTAGAAGTTCATGAACACATCAGATGCAGTTCAGAAATGCTCCAGAAAGCCTCAAAACACAGCATGCAGTAAAGCAAACTATAAAAGAGCAGGAATTCAAGCTTACATTTTGAACATTAATTGACCAAATTCTCAAGCTGCCCCTGGTTGCTCTACCACACTCCTCCCCACTGAGAACAGGGGGCTTCCTCCACTCTGCTCACCTCACTGCTCCTTCAGGAGTTGAAAACTCCAAATAATTCTACTTGACATAGAAATTCAGAAGGAAAAAACAAACAACCCCCAGCTTGGGACAGCTTTTAGAGAAGTTACCCTTGACAGGTAGTTTCTGGCAACCTGTGAGTTTCCATAATCCTGATGCAACGTGCCTTTTTCATCACTCCAGCTGGTGCTTTTGTACAAGGCTGCTCATCAACTTAAACTCTAGATAAAGCAAAGCCTTTCCATCTGAGATGCAGCACTGAGCGTCACACTGAGCACGTGGTGATGCATCCAACAGCATCTATTTACAGAAGTAGGGTATTGAACTGCAAAAACTGAAGCAATAACGCAGGTGGGTTGTAAAGTAAAAAAGGAACAGCATGAACACAGCTTGCTCAAAATCAAGTGCAACTTCCATAACTTTGTGGTGAATTTTCTCTTTGCCAAGGCACTGAGAGCCTTTATATTTCTTAATTCTGTGCCATTTGTGCAGTAAAGAGCCCAGAGAACTGTGGCAAAGATAAGAGAAGCCAGGAGGGTGCACAGGCAGACAGGGCACGGCACAGCAGATGCGCTGTAACAGCCTCACCTGCTCCTCTTGCTGGTGCTTATAACAGCTAAATAGCAGGCTCAAAACTGGTCTTGTTTCTCTAAAGAGAAATACCACAGGTGGTTAAGATGTTCCCTAAGTGCTTCCCAATTTAGCTTAGCACTGAACAGAAGGTTGTGCTTCAGGCCCGTTCTAGCTCCAAGAGAAGGAAATGAAAGCTTGGGAGGGGAAAAAAGCAAGGAATTCACGTAACAGAACAGATCTCTGGTGGCATGGCTGAACGTGTTCTGTGTGCCCTCATCAACTCCACGGCCAGGAAGCACTACTGCAGGAATGCAGAAACCCTGGAAGGATTTCTGCTACAGAGGAATGGCAGAGCTGGCCGTATACATGTTGTTCTCCTCCACGCCCTTAGATGGGAAGTAGAGACAAATCTGGAGCGCACACACGTGGAACACATTAATGCTGAAAATACAGATACACTGACATGAAGCATGTGATAGAGCTCTGCTACTTTAGTCAGGATTTGGTATCATCTCAAAGTACAGCTCTGACAACACTCAGAACAGTTCCTCACATTCCAAGGTCAGAAAATGACTAAACCAGCTGACTGCTGCGGTGATTTATTCCTGTACAACAGGAGTGCACAGCTGAAAATTTATCTTCATGTAGATATAAGGAGGACAGAGATAAGAGCACAACACACTGGGAGGGAAGGAAAGCAAGACTTGGTGTTTGCACCTATGTTCGTGTGTTAACAGATAACCCAGAAAAGAAGCAGAGGAGTTTAGAGTGCAATGAGCCTATAATAACAAAGTCTACTGTGTGCTTCCTGATGCTATGTTGACGTGACCCACACAGGACAGCTGTGTTACTCCAGCACTATTCACAAACAGACTTCTTGTCAAGCCCTTAACACAGGTTTTAAGACCACTGGGACACAGACAGGCCCAGCATCCCAGCAGCAACTCCACCAATGCTGACATTCTCCAACATAACACGAGATTTTCCCCATGGAGACTTACTTGTACTCTGTAGTGTTTGAGGTTTTCCTAGTGCCAGGAATCTCTTCTCCATTCTTCACCCAGTAGCTGGCAGAGAGGGGGCTGGGGCTGGTGGTGAGGTTACACTGTAACGTGATGGCAGCCTGACCATACACCGGGATGGTTACGTCCTCGCTGGCATTGATCCTCGGCTCTGAAAAAAACCATGCATTAAGTAGCAAGAAATCATCGCGGGGAGATGTGCCACACTAGTCTAAAATTCAACGGGGGAAAAGGAAAGGAAAAGAGACTACACAAGGATCGGCACTGCACTAATTTGGGAGACACCAAGAAAGTCACAACAAGACATCTGACCACCAGAGCAAAGGCAACACCTTACGGATCAGCTCCCCTATATGGGAAAAGAAAAAGACATTCATTTTAGTTGGTAACATTGCTGCAGATTTCAGTGCAACTCAATCATTTTTACACGCTGCTGAACATAAACCAGGTGAATATACATCCCAACAGCACACAGATAAGAAATCAGGCATTCCTCGGGAAGCATCTTCAATCTGGCCATTCCTCAGCCTCTCTGCTTGTGCTGAGATTTAAAACAGGACCATTTTCTCCAGAAAACAGCCCTCCGGGGCACATCTTCTGACTAATATCTCACTAATGAGAAACACTGATGGCCACCTAAGGAATCTACCCTGTCTGCACCTGCCCGTCCTTCCACGCCACACCTGAGCACTGCCCTGCTACTACAAAGCCACGCAGAGCAAGCGAGCAAAGTTAATTTCATCAAGCTGAGGAGAGATGCAGAGCAGCTTCTCCTGTAGGTGGGATGGGAGCACACAGCCACTGAATGGGACACACGTCTGAAGAAAGACAGCTCCAAGTAGGCCTTCATGCTTAAGAATAAAATGTAGGAATACACCGTGTTAAAAACTGCAGTCAGGTTTTTAAGGCAACCTGAACCATCAACATTTATGATGAATAAAGTGAGTGTCATCTCACAACGCACCACACACGTGGCATCCTTTGCTGGCTGCAGCAGGGAGCAGGGCTCACAGTTACAGGCATTCACTTAAAAAAAAATAGAACAGAATGACAGAGCTTTAGGGAGATAAATGGAAATACCTGAAAATACCTTCACTTGTGATGAGGCAGAGCCTCGTGCTCTGCAGCTGGGCCAGCAAACTGCAAGGTGAAGAAGCTGGTCACTAACGAACATCTCAGTGATTTCATGTCAGCAAAGGATTTTTAATTCTTTTTTTTTTAATTATTTTTTTCCTTTGCCTTGCTGTATGATACTTGGGATACAAATTTAGTCACAGCCATGCAGCCTTCTGGATACTCATCTGCCAAGTACTTGGAAAATGAGTTATTTAATGGAACGATGAGGGGAAAATAACAGTGCTGTCCAAAAACAGTATTTTTCATTGCATTAACCATCCACTGATCCAACACAACGCTTTGATTATTGCCCTTAGAGGCAGGCATAAAACGTGCCCACCTTCTGAAAACCCCACAGAGCCACGTGGAGCCCCGCACATCCTTTCCTCCTTGGTTCGGTGGGTGGCCACAGATCTTCTTTCCCCAGCTATTTCAATCACAGCTCCCATTTATCTGTGGGCAATCTGCAGCTACTGTAGCTGTGTTTGGTTTTTTTTCCCCTGACACTTCTCACAGGTAACTCACAATTTCCTGCAACGTGAAAGGTGACTCAAGTCGAATGCATCTGCATCTTTTACCTGCGCTGACATTATTTAATTTAATGAATGAAGGAATAAATGAAAGCACTCGGGCAGTTCTAACTTCATTTAGTTCTGTAAGACAAACTGCACATGGAATATTACTGGGACAGTGACAACCAGACAAGGATGACAAACTGAAAGAACAAGATGCGAGATTTTCACACATCTATCATTTGCGCTGCTTGTTTTACGTAAGACCTGGTTGTAAAACAACCCGCAAGTGAAATTCATCATCCAAACTGGTAATGAGATTGAAGCCAGATCTAGCTCTTGAGTGCTAACGTTCAAAACTAAGCTGCACTTGACTTCTCTGCTCCTCCGATCCAGCTGACATTCTCTTGCTACGGTGGTGATGTCAAGCAGGGCCAACAGCAAACCAGGCTCCATCAGCTGGAAATGCCAGCACTGTTTAGCCAGAATTCCTGTTCCAGTGCAGGCTGTGTTCACACAGAGTGCAGCTGCTGAGGCATTTTGGGCAGTGTCAGTTACCATGTTCCCCATCTGCTTGGAAGTCAGCTTCTCCCCTTATCTGTTTCCAGCAGGGACACGCAGGAGTTGGATGTCAAGGCGTTCTGCCTCCCAAACAACAGCAGGTCACATCTCTTAACATAAATGGCACAGAGCAAAAGCATTAAAATATTCACTTCAATACTTTTTCCCCCACACGTAAGCGTGAATAAAACAGAATTGGAATAATTATCCCAGTCACAAGGCACTTAGCAATGCAGTCACCATACACACTCCAGAATTAGCAGCGCCAGATGCAAGGAGATGGCACGAACTGGGGAGGAAGATGAGAGGTTAGCCTTCAGTCCCCAGAGCAGGTCAGTTTCAGCGGCCTGAGAAGAAAAACCCACTTTCCACATGGAGACATCTTCCCAGCAATTCACTCCCAAGTGACGTGGCCACCATCGCTGACGTGCCACGTGAAAAGGATCTGCTCCCTCTGCAAGTTGCTAGAGCCGACTGGATGACAGCGAGGAGAGCTGGCAGCAGGACTGGCCACATGCAAGGGAACCAAGGTGCTCAGGGCAGGGGGCATTCCAGGAGATGGTACTTCCTGCAAGACAAACTTCGAGCTTTGTCTTAAGGCAGTATCATTTCCTAAAGGTACTCAGCTCTTGCTACTGGAGGCAATCAAGCAGTCCATAGACCTGAGTCCTTCAGGACCTGCTCCTCAAAAGGACGACAGAGGGAGCAACCACTGGGACTGAAAGCTGGGTGTGTTTCGACAGCCCAACGCCACTTCCATTTTCCAAGTACACCCGTTGGGTTGGCTGCCCATTTTTCCATGTGCATGGATGTCGTTTCCACTTCCCAGGAGGGTCTCTGATCCAGGCCCGCGATGCAGATTTAAGTTGCTCTGCCTTTGACTCATTATGCATTTGCTTTATCTCGTTAGAAAACAAGAATTATCACCTATCACCCTACACAAAATCAAAGGCAGTTCTTCTATATCAGTTCTCAAGATATAAATTTCCACTCTAATCTTGCACTGGCCAAAGGCTGAAAGGACTTGGAGCGATTCTGTGTCTACTACATTCTCTGCTTTTGCAAGCTTTCCCCTGCTAACAGTCACATTCCCAGATGACAGCTGTTTAGCAAAGGTTATTACTTCAACACTGGAGGAGGGCTTTTTCCCCCTTTCATAGGCTGCACTACGAATGGCTGCATAAGTTCAGTGCTGCTGCATCAGAGAACTCATCAGGAAACATGCTGCTGCTTAGGAAGGAAAAGAAACACCACGACTTCATGGAAAAATCTAAACATTTACAAGTCACACGCAATGAAAAGGGAAGGATCTCGACAGAAGCAACCAAAATCACGTGAGGAAGGCATTCAGAGGAAATTCCAAGAGAACAGGAGAAATTTAAAAAGAAAATGCAATAGTTAGACCTGGGAAGAACATAGAAATCAAATAAAAAGGCACTCACAGAGAAGCTAGCATCAGAGTGGCTGTAAACCTACTACAGGACTAACGGGGGCAGGGAAGGAGCGCAAACTCAGCATCAGGCTCGCTTTCACACACAAGCTATGAGAAACATCCCCAGATCGTCCCACGTCCTTTGATCCTAAGGAGAAGACAGACAGGTGGCAGCACTACAGGCAGAGGAGAAGTGTTGGGTTCGAGACACCAGGACAAGGCAGCAGGGGGCCAGCGGGGGACACCGGGGAGGCGAGGACACTAGACTGCTCTAGATACTACAGTACCACTACCGTGGGGTGCCGAACTCACTCTGAAGGACGCTTATAGTAGCCTGGGCTCGAATCCACGTTATGGAGGGGTTTTGCCTCAAGTCATTCCTCCTGGGGTCGTTGCTGGCCCTGCACTCGTAAGTCCCAGAGTCTTCCAGGGTGAGGCGGGTTATTCTCAGCACGCTCACCCCGTTCGCCCCGTAGGCGGTGTTAATGGTGACACGGCGCTTCCGAGCGCCATCCCACAGCTGTTTGAAAGACTCAGCCCGGTTGACTTCAGCATACCACCACTGGATCTCTGGAGTGGGATTCCCAACCACATCACAGTACAGTTCAAAGGCGTCCCCCGTGAGCTTAGTTTCTGACATGGGCGACTTGACAAACCCAGCTAGAGGGAGTGGCAGCAGAAACGCAGTGACAGAGCGGCAGAAAACAAAAGATCTTATAAAGAACAAAGCAACGAGGTACAGAAAACAGTCAGATCAGACAGTGGCAATCTACAGTGACAGCTGTTAACGTGACTTTTAGAGAAAAAGCACAACACTGAGCACTGGCAGCTGAAGTTAACACATGAAGAGCACAGCGCTCACAGAGGTGAGAGGGATTTCAGTACATGCCCACGGGCAGAAAGGTCTCCCCGTTAGTTAGGAAGCACCTTTGGTGCTGCTCACTTCCAGAGACCATACAGTGTTTGCCTTTTGAGGCAGGATGCTGTGCTGACGTTCACAAGCAGGGCAAAACATCCTTATTACGGCGTGAAATCCTTCAATACTTACCAGCTTCCCAGCAACGTCAGGAGCGCAGACACACTAAACTGTCCTTCAATCCTATTTTCAAAGGTATCTATCGAAAACTGGGCTGCCTTAAAGCCGGTCTCTTCCCCCACACGCCTGCCTCCCCCTAAAGCTAAAAGATTACAATGCAGCTGGCCAGACAGATTATGCAGCACAACCCATCAGATGGCTGAGCTCCCCGGGCAGCAGGGCTCCCGGCCGCAGGCAGAGTGCCACACAAACAGAGACCGACCCGGCCCTCCCCTCAACACCACGGCTTATTTTCAGGATGAGGACTGTTAGTTCAGCAGTAACATTCCTGAAGCACGTGCCTTAGGAAGCACTTCACAGAGCTACAAGAACAAACGCTGCAAAGAAGTCAATTAGTACCAGAAATCATTCCAACTACAAACCCATCTGACGAGGATTTTCATAGCCTGGCACTCCAGCACTACAGACAGGTGAGCTCCGTGCTCCCAGAAATA